TATAATTTTAAAAATTTCGAAATAATTTTTTTTTGTTTGTTAACGCAGAACGAGTCGTTGCGTTATTTACAATTCTAGAAAACGTTCCATCTCTTACATAATAATAGTAAGTCCCGCTCGTAAGGACTTACACAAAAGAGGCGGCATCAGTTAAGATGTTTCTTGAAAGTATAAAATGTATCGGACAAGCGAATCTGATAAGCTGTCTCGTGAATAATAGACTCGTTCCTTGCAAATAGAAAATGATCACAGAGATATGTCACGGAATATCTCTTGACTTCTTTTGCTTGATCTTCGATAGGCTATAAAGTCCGTCTTGAGGTACTTTGGCTTTTCGATGTGAATAGATGGTAAGAGGCATAGAATTAACATATTATATGTGCAGTGGGAATATAACGCGTGGCAGACAGATATGAAAGAGTGACACGTTGCAATTAGAAATGCAGTCAAACGTCATCCCATCTGCATTATAATGCCGACACCGCCCCTATATTTGTTACAACTGCACTTTTTTTGTCATTTATATTTTCGTTACTATCTGAAAAATCACATGTGTAAGTTAGAAGAGTTTCGAGATATCAGAATTTTTTATTTTATATATATATATATAATATTTTTTAACATAATTTACACTATATTACATATTGAAATGATAATTATTACAACGAATTACGCAGCAATGGCAAAATTAAATTGAAATATCACATACATCTCGCAGTTAATTGAACAGTTATAAGTAAATAATTCTCTACGTCCTCATATTTACGCAATATACATCATTTGGGACGTCATGAGATTTTCATCAATTTACATATCCATATCAAAGTGTCCTAATAGTAATACATACATCAGCAACTCGCTTACATTGCAGCATTCGCATGCTTTGCGGCAATGACCACATTAATAATGCGATTTTCGTTGATAATAATCATGAAATCACGCACCTTAGTAATATTGCGATCAATTTTGGTTATTTACACTCACGCAAAAGGACAGTGAATAATAACAAAAGTGGAAAGGGGAATGGCAAATCTCTTAGTGATATATCAATCTCTGCCATTCTTCATTTATCATCTAATCACAGCGCAAATAATTCTTCAAATATTAAAATCTCTGTACGTTTGATATTTCAAAAAATGATTTAATATATAATCAGCAATAATAATGGAAAAACATCTCGATAACGCTGTCGTAATTCATTCTTGAATCTGCTGTCGGAATAATTCGGAGGAGATATAAACAGTTTGAAGACTGGCCGAAAAGGTGAATTAAAAAAAATCTGTGCGATATGGATAACGAGATTTTAGCGATCGATAATCATTATCTCATCAGAAACGTGCGAACGTGTCGTTTCATGATGAATCGACGTTAATCAGTAACTCGGAAATAATGTAACTTCGGCGAACTACGTCCAAGCGCATCGCGATGAAGTCAGGAAAGTGCCATGACAATGACAAATTAATGCGAAGCAAGGTACTCTCCGGCGCGAATGCATACTTAATCTCGCGCGAAAAGTTAAAGCACGCTCGCGCAAATAGACGTGCAAGTCGATCAACAATTTCAGAGTCCGCGAGGTTCGGCGATTACGCGCGTAAATAGCATTATTGGATGCTAACAGGCTAAGTTTTAACTTGGTTTCTTTAACGCGGACGAAGAGGCAAGTGTCTTTTTGTTGCTCTCCTCGAGAGCTTTTAAATTCTTCTTAATCTCCCCGAAGAGTTTTTCTTTCCTCACCGAATAAAATGAGAATGTAAGTGTAGAACACGCGCGCGTTTCACGGAGAGAAAATGTACGGAGGAGTAAGAAACCGTTAAATTATATGCAATTCTGACGATGTATAATTTCTGTTAGATACATGTATAATTGCGTGATGCTGTTAAATAGCATAAATCAAAGTCTAATCATTATTCGAAGCTGCATCATATCCGCTGCATCAGCGGCCCGCGAATCCTGCCGACCCGACGTGCTCTGTTTATCTCTCCCTTCCTCCGTTTTTCTCTTTTTTATTATTCACTTCAATGTCTCTTTTTGCACTTCCGTGATTTCGTTGCAAACAAACGTGCGATCTCTGCGCGCGATCATTGTCCGAGCATCCTATGCATTCGTCAGAAGGCATTTCCGGCTTTGCGTATCATTGCATCGGCGCATATGCAATGAATTTTATGAGAATCACGTGTGTGTCGCGTAAAAAGAAATATTTCGGCGACGCGCTTGCGCTCGTAAAACCAACGGAAGACAAATTTGTCCCGGGAATATGCACAATAAAACAGTCTCGGTGAAAGATTACGGTACATTTTTTCGCAATTTACGGAACGGTCGATTTAGTTCACGGTTGATATAATCGATATGTGTGTCCCGATATATCATACGGTGTCGACCGTTATTTCCGTGTAATATATAAACGTAGTATAAGAAATATCGTGGGAATAATCACCGTATTGTCTTGTTCTTTCTGCTTACATACAATGAAAAACCCTGGGGATGTCACTATGACCTTGCTTTTATGATCCTGCTTTTAATTATTTAAATAAGATTATGAATATTAATTAATTTAATTTTGCACATACATAAAATATGTAATTGCACACAGGATTACACAGTGTTACGATTGTCGTTCTATTACACAAGTTGTGTGTGATAAAAGGGATGCGCTCCGCATCGTGACTTCTCGGATTGCTAGACGAGGGTTTCCTAACCGAAGACGTTAAACGGACCATCTCTCTATGCGACGTCTTGCATCCAACAGTATGCAGTTACACGCACAGTTAAACCTGTAACACGGCGTTATTAGATTGCCTTCACCGGAATCCGATACGAGAAGCCGGAAACCGATATTACTGGCAGCGCGCTAATATTGCCAATATGTCACGGGCGTGAAATTGTCAATTCCGATCTGAGACACGGCATAATTACACGCTGTGAATGTAAAATGAAATTACACGTTAATAATCTGTATTTGACTACAACTGAATCTGTTGCAAAGTCCTTTGTTTACAAAATTATTTTTGCGAATAGACGATTGAAGAGACATCCAACTACACTAGATTACTATAGCACACGACGAAAGATTGGAGGGAGGAAGGAAAGGAGAGAGAGAGAAGCGGGTTAAAACAATAAAAATATTGATTCACACGCCACTTTTGCTTTCAACGACCCCTCGGTGACTGATCGTATCGAGGGCGCTTTATCGAGTTTTATACGGCAAAGCGGGTGTTCGCGGCATCACGTGGCGACATCGCCGCCGATGAAACCGGATGCAACAGCTTGCCGCGGGCTGTGCCGTCCGGGCTGCGTTTCCGGTTTAATTCGGTAATCCGTGAATTAATATTTCATCAACGGGCTTTTGCACGCGCTTTCTCTACGTCCACCCTCCATCATCCCCTTTCCCGGCGCATTTCCTTCATCCGCCCCATTTTATACTCCCCCGCTCGATTCGCCTTCTTTTATCGGACGTTTTCGCGCGTGAGATCGACGCTATAAGCTTAACGATCCATGCCTTCCGCGGAAAATACTGGCATTCGAATCGTAGTAGTCGGGGAGGAGGGATGGAGAGATGGTTCGGAGAAGAATTTGCGGTGAAACTAACGATCGCTTGCCCGCTTCGGCGTACAATGCGACGCATTAATGGCTCTGCTGCACTTATCGCCATTTACTCTTTGCATAGGTTTTAGAGCGCTTACTACCGTTTTTCCATCGACAATCGATGGCTGTGTACTTTCTGCTGTTTGATACTTCAAAAGTAAAATCCGCTGACTAAATTCTATATCGTCGATCTCGTAATTCTATTTTTAGAATGTAATTACACAAATCAATTATTAATATATATATTTAAATCAGAGATTTATTTCAAGTCTTATCCCATATGAATTCAGAGAGAAGAAGGATATTATATTAATATTTTTTAATTTGAAATTAATTATGATAAGAATGAACTGAGCGAATCAACTACATATTCTTTGACTAATGAAGGTAATTGCTAGATTTGCGTTTTCCTCTCGCGCAAATAAGAGCGATTTTAAGTTCGACCACGTAAGACGGCGAATCGTATCGAGGTCGTGTGTCCGCTAAAAGATCTCTGCTGTCATCTTCGAAAATGTCGCACCATCGCGAGGATCGAAGAAATCTAATGAGCAAGACTCGATGACCTACATATGGACCTACATACGGCACAATGCATCCCCCGGCAAAGGTACAATGCAGCAGCGATACGAGAGAACCTTCGCCAACGATTCGAAATCAATACGGTGTATATCGATGATGTGTCAGTACGGAGAACGGACCGTCTTTGCCTTACAATTGACTCCCACGCCGAAGCCAAGTGCTCGGGGAGAGACGACAGTCGTCGTGTTACAAAGGACCAAGACCATCCTGTCGATCCCGGGAAATTGCTTGGATGGCATGGCGATGTTGAACGGGGAACGGAGATACACAGTAACTGTGTTATATCAGCGCGAGATATACTATATTTCGTTATTTGAACGTATGTCTACATAGTACGGTTTCAAACGCGCGTAGAGTCTCCTAAATTAATAAAATTAATTTATTGAACGACAACAAATATTTATTATCAACAAATATTTATTATTGTCTAATAAATTGGGAGATGCATCGTTCTATCATGATGTATGAATTTTCGTGATGGATGAATTTGCCGAATTCGTATTATAGTTATGATTTGTCGGGGACTTTAAAATATCGTAAAGCACAAAAGTATTTTCGATTGTTACGATATCTATCTACTTTAATCGAGATGCGTCAAATTCTAATGGAAAATTGAACGACAATAAACATTTATCATTTAATAAATTAGAGATGCGCTTGATCATGTAATTTTTCGAATTCGTACCATAGTTATGATTTATCGGGAGCTGTGAAATATCATAAAATATAAAAAAAAGTATTCTCGATTGTTACAATGTCTAGTTTAATTGAAATGCGATAAGTTATCATGACATAATTCTGATCGAAAATTTACTTTCCTCTCTCTTTCTTTCTATTAGCAGAATGAAAACAGAGCTTTACGACTGAAAGAGCCCGCGTCTCTGGCGCTCTCCGCTGGCGGGAATTCTGGCGGCTACGTGGATCAGGATGGCACGGCCATTGTAATGTCATCCGAGCTCCTGCCAGCACCGACCCCGGATCCGAGAGTGACGTGGAATTACTTCGACGAACAGGGGTGAGTCGGCGATCTTCCCTCGCGATAATCAGCTTAACGGGCTACACTTCGAACTTTATCCACTTCGCGGGCATATTTTCGTTGCCGTGCTACGTCTTCATAAGCATTTCAAAGGCGTTCGAGAATGCAATATTAATCCAGTTGGCGGCGCGACTCGACTCTTGACTTGAGTTCCGAGAGTTGGCACATCTCGGCGTTATTAATTATTTCGCACGTTCGGCGCAAGAATCTATTATCTTCGAGAGCTCCATCCTTGCATTAACTTTCCACCGAGCTCCACCAGGAATTGCATCTCATCGCGCAGCTTCTCATTCTAGCGACATTTCTGCATTATTGCCGACCGCACATTACACTGGAATGTCTCATTCCCTCAACGTTATTCGTCGGCGTTGTTATCCCGCAATTATAACTGACCCGAGGTGCCGTTATAATCACGTTATGATAAACGCTGCGTGTGTTTTTTGCGTTCCGATGCAAGGCAACTCCGTGTATTCTGGGTTGACATCGAGATTTGAAACGCGCGAAGGAATAACGACAAGATATAGTGTAGCGATAATTTTCTTTACGCAACAGGTACGTCTCGAGAGGGGGTCTGCGCGCAGGCGAGGATCCATACGCGAGGAATAAATTCAATCAGGAAGCCTCCGACGGTCTTCCGAGCAATCGTGACATACCCGATACTCGCAGCGCCATGTAAGTAACTTGTTACATAACATTTGCCAATATATTACGCTGTACACGTTACGCTGTATATGTAATATATATATACTAATGTCTAAAATGAGCTTCATAAGATGATGTATTATGTGTTTTTCTCATTCTTCGGAATTTTAAGAAATCCGCAAGACACGCTCGAGACATGATACGTCCCGCTCTGCAATATTTATTCCACTTGCCTCGTCGATTGAGAAAGTCGGAAGACATGTCTCGATTGCTTACAGTCACAAAATTGTCTCGTGGAATAAATTCTCCAGAGCAAATAGACGGCAGCTAGACAAGTTTCTCGAAGTGTCTTTAAATAATGTATCGACCCGTACAATTATTGAACACGATTTACCGTCTGACAATCCTCTCGCGAGACAAGTACTTTGGGATAAGTGAGAAGACGACGAGAACATATGAGAGGGGACACAGAAATTGGCCTGTCAATTCGTTTATACATTATTATTGACAGCTACGTGATTCTCTCGGCGGATATTATTCCTTGGAAATGATCAGCAAGATCGCGGCCGTATCGTTGGAAATTCATGCAGTATCATGATAAAACCATGTTACATTCAAATCGTCAAGTGACAGTTACTTCGCCGAAGAAGAACGATGAGAACTCGTGAATATCGTAGAACAATATATATTTCCTCTCGCCTGTAAAAATGTAAAATAATCATATGCAATCATCTATAGAAGAGAACTCTTATCCAATTAATCTGAAACGAATGATTGATTACCGTACACGGTTTCTCGATATATCTATTTTATTATGATCATAATTTTTAAAAGATGCCGAAGAAAGATCTCATACGTTTTCTCGTTAACGTGTACACGATCAAAGTAAGATGGAAGGAATCCATTTCCGTTGTCGGATATCTTCAGTAATTTCTTGCGGAAAGTAATTCAACCTCAATCTGTTCCATCTGCCATAGCTTCATTAAAAAAAGATAATGATACGCTGCGAATGTGCCGCGAAATATTGAAGCTCGATAATTTGAAAATTTCAAATTTGGAAACTTTAATTTGATTTTTTTCACATTGCGAAAAAAAATATAAATACAGATAACGCGTATAAAATTAATGAATAAAGTAATAACGGAAAAGGATCTTGCGGACTCAATAAAATTGTAATTGGCAATTTCTTCGCACCGTAGAATCACGAGATTCCACATCTAGCGAAAATCCACTTGACCCACCTAGTCGCAATCTATCCTCGTATGCTGTCCGACAACGCCTTTTTACATCATGAAAGATTCAAAGGCGGCATAAAGTTCCAATACGTTCAGACCGTTGAAGAGTTCGAGTTTGCTCCCAAGAAAAGCGATAAAGCCGCGATCATAAATTCTTATCGATACACATAGATCATTGACATCCTTGTTACATGTCAAGCGTGTTAGTCGTTCGAAACGTCCATCCCTGAGAAATCTCGCGCGAAACCTTCCCGCATTTATAGTCTCTGTATATGCTTATGATTATGTAATATAAATTATAGTCGTTTCAAGATACTTGTTATTATCTCTTATCGCGCTGGAAATCACGCGAGAATCTATCGTTTGTCATTCGATAAATATTAATCGGCCATCTCTTTTCGCGATATATGCGCTGTCAAGGTATATCGATAATTAACATCAGCAATGTTATTTGTATTATTTTGCGCCTCGATAAATGCATTAATTTTCACATTGCCGCACGTGCTTTATTAAATTGTCGTTAATTAAATCTAATTGTTATTATAATATGATTACATATGCAAGTTTTTACATTTTATAATGAAGTGTCTTAAAAAATTCAATAAATATCTAGAATGATATAATTGATTAGTACACATACATATATATATATATATATATTCTATTTTAATATTTTAAATTGTTTACTATTTAATTGATGATATTTGACTGATGGAAACGTTACAATAATTATCACATTTTCAAGACTGATATCATTTTTTTTGCATTATTCACGACTTTATTCAAACATTGCAAAATATAAAGAATCCACTTCATCGCAAATCGACATTTTTCTTCGCGGCAAGATTAGTTCCGTATATATTTGTTTGAAAAAAAAAAACATGTTGAAAAATGTCTCTGCGAATGGATGGAGAAATATTGCGGATCGTGCTATAAATTCCACTTCAGGAAAAATCGACGCCGGAAACGTGCTTCGCTGCGTTCTTCGCGAGGTGAATTCTTGTACGTCTATTCTCGTTCGCGAACGCGAAAGCGCAGGAATTCAAAGTCGGACAAAGTTTCGCGCGATTTCGAGCGAAAAAAAAAAAGATGACTCTTTTCGCTCTCACGCCGAAGGTCGTGGAAGAGTTCTCCGATTCTCGATCCTGAATTCGCGAAGAAGCGAAGGGCAGCAAAACGACGGAAATTGGGAAAGCAATAGGATTGAGTTTGCGAAGTTTAGAGGTCCTGTGCTTAATGGTATTGCCTGCTTTTGTTGCCCCGCGCGTTCAATATACCGCTAATAAAAACGTGGGCTGCTTTAATGTGCTCTCTCGCTTTCGTCGAGCGTACGCGAGTATCGTTCGCTCGAAATTTCAGTTTGTGCATGGTCGACGAAGTATAATGTAACAAAACTTGGCAACAATCGTGTGAATCCACTCGATCTGGAGATAATGGAATTGTTTGGAAATAATTTTTTTGTACAGCAAATCTTTCTGTTCGAAAACAATAAAATAATTGGAATGGTATTTTATGATAATCATATTCTTCTATTTGAGAGGGAGAGAGAGGAATAATCGCACTTTAAATAATTATATTTCAATATTATATTATTATTTAGATTTGACATATTTCGATTAGAGAGACCAAAGCGCAACCCAATCCTATAATTAATTAAATCATTATTGACACCGCCAATATTTGAATATATATTTGAATATATTATAATAATATTGTACATTTTACAACATATAATATCATGTATAAATAGATAATTAATGTTACTAATACTTATTATGATTAAATTATTCTGTATAAATATGCATATTCAAATTTTATTTACATCAATTTGTGACATTTGTCCTAAATTAATATGAAAATAATTGTCTCTTCACATATGTTATAAATAATATATATATATATATATATATATATATATATATAATATATAAATTTTCAAATTTATAAAAATGTATGATATATCTTTGCCCTTCTCTCTCTCTCTCTCTCTCTCTCTCTCTCTCTCTCTCTCTCTCTCTCAATGTATGAATTAAAAAAAGAATAATTTATATGTTTGAGGGTTAATATGAAATTGCTAAAGAGATGCCTTTGTAGTCATGATTGCTTTGATATCGAGCGCTCAATATCCTGTTCATCTTGAAGAGCTTGTACTGGCGAGTTTATAGTGCAGCTTCGCTCTTTCTTCAATTCTTTTGGCGCTGAAACGACTAGACTACCAACCTCTCAATTCAAGATGATCTAATTTCCTGCGCCTCGCAACCGTCTTTCGCCTGCAGCCGCAACATGCATTTCACGCGGACAAACATGATAGTGTCGGCGAAACCTGTCAGCCACGCGCGAATGAACGTGATTTACTATTGATATACATATTCGCTCTCATATGCTTCTCGATTACGTGATATCGCGTGAGACGATATTAATTTCACTTCAAAATGGAAGGAGATTCATTCCGTTTTCATCCGTTTCATTAATTTTATATAACGTGCTCTCGGAACGAACTTGGACTCGCGTGAGTTATCGGATATGATGCGTGATGTAAGTTTTATTTTCTTCCTACGTATGAGATATCGCCTTGATTTCTGATAGACGCGAAAATTCTCTTAGTTGCGGCCTCATGAATCACAGCGAGGAGAATCTGAAGCTGCATAAACGGTAACTGATGAAAGTATAATACGTCAATCGTGAATTTTACAAATATTAGCTTAGGATTAGGAAAAAATATAATTCATTTTATTTTTTTTACAAATATAAGAAAATAACGTTATATATGAATAAATAAAGATATGCATATATAATTTTATATATATATATATATATATATATATATATATATACTTTAATACAATTTTGGGCCGGGGAATGACCCATATAAATGGGTCATTCCACATCAAATCAGCCACCTCCTCACCCAAAATTGTAAAGTAAATTTAACTTCTAAGGTACCAAAATTTGGCTTGAAACATCTAATTTTTTATGCCATCTGGCGATTTTGAAAAATGTCAAATAATGATGTTGGTTTTGTCAGTTAAATAAAAAATGGTACCTATTTTCGTGTTCAAATCTTTATTATTTTTTTACAAATGAAGTACAAAAGTCATTTTTAATGTAATTTGAATCCAAATCTGAAGTCAGAAAAACAAAATTTAATTTTTTTAATTTTTTTATTTATTTGACATTTTTCAACATCGTTAGACGGCATAAAAATCTAGATGTTTCAAGAAAATAAAAATCTAGATGTTTCTAAATTTTGGTATCCATATATACTAGTTCAATGTTTGAGCAAAGTTCAAACATTGAACCGTCGAGCATATACGAATTTACAAAAACATTTTGATGTTTTGTAAATACGCTATTCGTTATCGAAAAGTTATTTTCTCTTATAATTTTCGTTATACATTTCCATCCATACCGATAATACAAAATTTGCATGTTGCATAAGAAGCTTGATATACTCGATATTATTCATTAAACGTATTGCTTTACATTATTGAGATAAGATCTTGGGAGAAGCTTGTGATGTAAATCCATTATGTGATTGAACTATGAAGAATCTCTAAAAAAATAAAAACCGACAGAGTACAATAAAACTGAATCAAACCAAATAAAACCGTATAAATCAGTAGTTCATTCAAAGTAAAGATAAAAAAGAATATGATGCGCAGGAAAATTGCAAATATTATTTTTTTAAGAAACAGCGCAATATTTCAAGAGATTTTTTAAATCTTTATTTGGATGTGTGAGTTGTGTATGCCGTCACGTGAAGAATTATGATCACGCCAAAGATACCAACCTCTA